GAAAGAAAGAAAGAAAGAAAGAAAGAAAGAAAGAAAGAAAGAAAGAAAGAAAAAGGAGGACAGGAAGGAAGGAAGGAAGAATAAAGAGAAAGGACAAGAAAGCAAGTGAAGAACGAATCAAACGCAGGGAAGCGAAAAGCGCACACAGGAGGGACGTGGCGGTGGGTGATTTCTATGAGTTTGCGGTGGCTCGATCCGGCCTCCTGCGTCCCCACTTCCAGAGCGGGACCGCCCCGAGCAGGGAGACGCCCCAGCCCCCGCGAGCGGCCCCGGCCCGCAAGGTGAGCGCCGCACCGCGCCGCGCAGGGACCTGCCCTGTAATTAAAGGCCTGGCGGAGTCACGAGGCCGCGCTTATTGGGGCCCATAAATCACCGGGAGGCCCCCTTTGAAACGGGCCGTATCTCTGCCCCATCCCGCGCGGGGTCAGCCGCGGGAAGAGCGCGGTGCTGCGGGGACCGCCGAGAGCCCCCCGACAAACGACCTGGTGGCGGCTGTCAGGACCCTGCACTGAAGCCATTGCAACGCGCGCGGGGCTTTTAATGAACTGCTCCGCCCGGGACAGGGACGGCGGGGCGGGGAAAGCCGGGGAGCCCCGGCGGGGAGCCCCGGCCAGGGGCCCTGCAGCGCCTCGGAAAGGGCCCGGCCTAGCGAGAGTCCCAGGGGCTGCAGTCACCGCCCGCCCTCGTCCCGCTGCGGCCCTGGCTGGGGAAAGGAGCCGCAAAACCCAGCGGCATTACATCCAAAGTCATGGGAGTGACTCCCGGCTCCAGCGGGGTCGGGACACTGGGGCGACAGCCGGGAAAGCAACAGATAGATGGATAGATAGAGGGGGTGTGTGGGGGGATGGATAGATAAGTAGATAGAGTGGGGTGTATGGGGATAGATAGAGGGTGTGTGTGGGGATAGATAGATGGATAGATAGAAGGGGTGGATGGGGATAGATAGATAGAGGCGATGGATGGGGATAGATAGATAGATAGAGGCGGTGGATGGGGATAGGTAGATAGAGGGGGTGGATGGGGATAGATAGATAGATAAAACAGAAAGAAAAAAGAGAGTAGAAGAAGTAGAAATAGATACATATGGTAGGTAGAAAGAAAGTAAAAGAAGTGGAAATGGGTAAGTTAAGTATAGTAAGTAGAAAGAAAGAGAAATAGGTACATAAGAGAAAGAAAGAAAGAGTAGAAGAAGTGGAAATAGATAAGTTAAGTGCAGAAAGAAAGTTAGTTAGTTGTTGGCTAGAGGCGAAGAAGTGGATCAGAGATCTCTGGTAAAACGACAGAAGTGGAGCTAGGTACATTAGCTCGGGATGGGAAAGACCGAGCACTTCTTACACACATCTCCCTTTGTCTGAGTGACCCAGAGGAAAGTCGGGTGGGAATCGGGGAGACCCCTCGCCCCTTTCCGGAGGAGAAACTCCGCTCTGGGCAAACCGGGCCGTCTGGAGAAGCGGCTCCTCGCGCTGGCGCTGGCCAGGCGGCCCGGGAAAACAGGAGGCTGGCTTAGGGCACGGGCCGGCGGGCACCCTTTGGCCATTGCACACTGAGGCTGAGCCCGACCCAGCCAGGTCTACACTGGAGCCCAGCGCGCCCTGACTCTACAGCTGGGGGCCCGTTTCTCCCCCATCCCCAGGCCCCCGGGGGTTTCCACCTCCTATCTGCTCCCCGCTGCGCCTCCAGCCAAGTAACCGGGCAAGAAATCCCAGCCGCGCCCTCCGGGAGCAGTGCGAAGTTGGTGACCAACGTCCCAGCGAAGCGGCTCCGCTGGGGAATGGCTGAGAACCGGGCTGGCCTGGCCCCAGCAGCGATCCGGGAACGGGCTACCCGCGAACCCGGCCGCATCCCCACTCGGCTGCAGCCCAGGCGGTGCGGAGGGAGAGACAGGCCGGGCTGCGATCCTTTAGGGCCAGGGACCTTTCCCTCGGGCAGGTTTGTACAGCGCCGAGCGCCGGATCCTTGACTCGGGGAGGCTCTGGGCGCTGACACAAATCAATCGTCAATAAAGCAGCGAATACATGTCAGGTGGGGGGATCCCACCCAAACTGGGGGATGGCGGGACACTCCCTCCCCGCAGCCGCTCTCCGCTGAAATGCCCTAGAGCAGGAGGAGGCAGGAGGCAGGAGGCCCCCCGGTGCTAGCCATTCAGAAGGGATCTCCAAGCGCAAAGCGGCCCTACGGTGACTTTTACACTTCCCCTTGTAGCCCACTTCCCTGCTCCGCCTCCCCGCGAAACAGCAGCATCGCCGAGCCTAGGATGGACAGAAACGATTTGTTTTGGGGGTGTTTGGTTTGTACATTGGGCGGGGGGAGGCGGGTGCCACATGGGATCCGGGGATCTTTTTGCCCCTGCGGTTCCCGGCCCAGAAGCAGGGCGGGCAGCGGCGGGGATGTCCGGCCGATCCCCTCCCGCGAGCAGGAAAAAGGGATTTTGCCCAAAGAGGGAACTTGCTCTGACCCCCTGGATTTTTTTTTATCTGTCAGGCTAATCAGTGCTGCTGACACATAACAATTTCAGCAATCTCGCGAGCGGCAATTTATTGCTTAAGCAGGCATAGCCAGGAGCCAGGCGAGAGAATTTGCTGCTGAGGAGATAACCTAATCTTTCCCTTCCCGCCCAGAACAAAGCCAGCCTTTGATGATCCCCTGCTCTCTTTTTACTCGGTTTAGTGTATGGAGTGAAAAGCCTAATGTGGATTTGCATTTATAACTCGGTAATGAGGACTGGGGAGAGGGGGTGGGTGGGGAGAAACACCCGAGTATCTCAGCAGCTTTGCAATCCCAGCCCGGGTCAAACTCCTTACACAGGCTGTTTTCTTTACCAAAAAAGAAAAAGAAAAAAGTCTCCTTTTGGAGATTAGGTGCAAGCGAAACCTTTCCCTTGGTTTTAGAGAACAGAAGAGAAATTTAGAGACTAGAAGAGAAATTGAATATATCTATACACACACACACAAGTGCAGGAGATATCATATAATAATTGCTAAGTAGAAATCTTCAGGAGTTTGTGGGTATGGAAGGACGAAACATTTCCAATATATTATGCATTTCAAAGAAATAATTCTCTGAGACATACACCCACGTGTATGGGGATTATTTTTTGCCTAGGATTCAAATTGGATCTGATACACAAACACACACCTAGCCACAGGCATGCGCTTATTTACGCGTGTCAATTACTCGATCTATTTCTATTTTTCATATACTTCCAGTTGTACATCAGCTATCAGAATGACGTCTGTAGGTTAAATGTTTTGTTATAAATCGAAAGAAGTAACAGCCAGCCACGTGAACACACATCACATCCAGGGTTCAATTATATCCCAGCTGTGACAAAGTAAATGCGTGCGTGTGTGTATATACACAGAGAGAGATCGCCACCCCGGCCACATAGAAGTATGTAAAATTATATATAAAGAGATGGGTATATTTGTAAAATAGAATCCAATCTCTCTATACTGAGTGTATATACTGAGTGTATAATACGAACTTTATAGGCTACGTTATATCTGTCACATACCATGGAGGCGCAGAGATATATAACTAATTATATATATCTAAGCAAATATAATTATATGTAATTTTCCCACGTGCCTGGCCTCTAAACGCTGGGGCTGATCCTTGCTTTTACAATCAATGGCAAAACTCCCCCTGACTTATTGAGTTCAAAGGCACCCGGGGTCGGATCCCTTATTCGATCATTGTACTTCTCTGCCCCCAGACCCGCTCAGATCTATTATTAAAAATACCCCAGCGCAGGGGGCGAGGTTTCTCCCACTCCCAACGCGCCCTGGGAAATGCGAGCGCATTTCTTGCTCCAGGTTTTTCTATTTCTTCTGGGAAACTAGATTCCCAATTACCCAGGGGTTGTGTCCACCAGCGCCCAGCCAGCAGCGCCGAACGCTGAGAGCCGATGTCCCGGGAGAGGACAAGAAAACTTGAGCTGAGTTTACGAACAAGGCTGGGGAAGCAACAGTGTTAACGCCGCAGACCTTTCCCGTGGATTTATTCCGTAACCTGCCTCCCTGACGTGAGATTGGGCCATGAACAGCGCATGGACAGGGAGGACGAGTTTAGTTGACGTGAAAACAAAAACGAGCACGCAAAAAAAAGAAAAAAGAAAGAAAAGAAATTAAAATAATAATAAAAAAACAAAATCAAAACCCCAGAGAGCTTGAAAACAACAGCCAATAATTCCTTTAAAAGGAAACATTCGATTTACGACAGACCCGTGTTTTCTATCTACACACGCTCCTTAATTCGTTCATATTTGTTCCTTAAAATATAAATACGCTCGTATACTTTTCAACAGCTCAACTACCGCGTTCGTATATTATAAATATCGCTATAAACGAGATCTTAGTAATCCAATGTTTGCTTTTCCCTTGAAACAGCGATGCATTGTTTTCAAGTCTCATGGTTCTTTATCTATACACACACAAATCGGCACATATACAGATACAGGGCTACACACATTCATGGTTGCAATTGTATTGCATGCATACGTAGATTGATGCACTGGAAATATATTCGTGTATTAAAGTGTCAGAGAGTCCTATGGAGAGAGAAAGAATACATAGAGCTATACACACCTATATCTGAGCATGCAATAGAAACGCAAGCTCACAAGAAGATAGACAGATAGATAGATAGATAGATAGATAGATAGATAGATAGATAGAT